ACATTAAGTATTGAGTAAATGTGACAGTAACTTTATATAGTATGTGAGTTACACAAAATAGTCATGTAGTAGCAGATGAATACAATTGCAGACACACACCAACTGACATGCACAGTCAGTCTATGTGATGATTTTTATTAGTTTCAGCAAGGAAATACAGATGCACACACACAACAATGATGAATTATAATAAGCGCTTTGTAATTCACAAACCATAGCCAGTGATCACTACAAATATTTAAAGCACATCACGTGGATATCGCTTTTGTTTTTTACTCCAAACTGACGATTGTACACCTCTCACCTGCTGACATTGCTTCTGTTTGCATGTGTACACGTTGTAGTTGAACCCCATCACACAAAACTCAGTATGGTTTTGTGCACCTGAAGATTTTATAGTATCATATATCAACTATATACAGATCTTTTATGTTTTTTTTCTTGTTTTTGATATATGTATACATATATATACATTTTATTCATGTTTTTTCTTAAACCTAGAACAGCAAAAATAATAATAATAAAATATAATCCTAGCTTGTATCTGTGGATTAAGACTGATAATGGGGTTTTTTTGTTTTGTTTTTTTTATGTTTACTACAATTAATATTTTCTTTAAAATGAGCGTCTCCATTTAATTTTTAAGGTCTCAGTGTGAACCTTCAAGGATGTGTGTGAGTGTGTGCGCGTCTGTGCGTATAGATCCTCATAGTTTTATTGTCTCTTTTATGACAGACACACACTCACTGCATGTGCATGTTGCTTGATGTTCTGTGTATTGTAATGTAAAACCAATATTAATATAACTGTAGTACTTTTCAAAAAGATGACCACAAATTTTCCTCTTTCATAACATCTGTTATCTAAAATGCCATCATTTCTAATTTCTGAGTGTTTGATGTCAACCTTTTTTGGAACATCCTTGCCATAAAAGCAGAGATGCAGGAGTACTGCTCTGCTTCTCAGAAGCTCTGTGCTTTCAGCTGTACAATCAGCCATTTTCTGTCAGACTAGAGGAGGCTACACTGCTTATGACAGGCTTTTATAGCCAATTTTGCTAGGGGAAAAAAAACCCTCTTACATCTAGATATGGAAACAAGATACATGGAGATATGGAAAACAACCACAATAATGACACAAGAGGAGGTTTTTATCCTCTAAGCTCTCATATGCCTGACTACCAAGCCATAGAGTGTTTGCAGCAAAATGGCTGCCGAGCATCGGGTCTCAATAGAGGTCAAATAAAAAAGCAAGGACTCTAATTTTGTCTCTATGACATTAGAGTTTCTGCTCTGTTTCTGTTTTTAATTTAATAGTCGTTGTTAATCTTACAGTATCACATGTGATGTGACTGAATTCAGAAAACAAGAAATTGTTTTCAGTAGGCAGATTAAAAAGGATAAAATCAAACAAGGGACTCACAGAACATTTAAAACAACCTTTTAGCTGAATGAGGTGTGAAATTATGGTGTTTCTCTCTCCATCCACACTGAGACAAGCTTCCTGTAGAAAATCAGATATTACAATTTGACTTGAAGTTTGAAGCCGCAACACTGACGTACATCTGTTCCTTTGTTTCTAATCCTTTAAATCATAAAAATCTCCACAAACAAGTAAGAGCATATAAGATCTTAAAGGAAATAACACTCCTCCCTGTTTGATCTCAGCACATTAAGCACTGAATCTTTGTATTCATGACAGAAAAGTTTCTGCACTCCTGGTGATTGTTAACAGTCCCACAGTCAGGCACCAGTATTAAATTAACTTGCTTGAAAGAGCCAACACAGGGTACAGCTGAAGTAACTCTTACCTCTTTTGTAAAACCAAATAAATATTGTGTGGTTCTTAATCCCATGGTAGTGTGGAAATGGAAAGTTGATTACAATTTCTTGCAATGTCCTTTCTAGACCTTTAATCTACCCCCCAAAAAACTTTATAAACTACAAACAGCACTCCCATAGAACTTATTTCATATTTTTCTGTCATACACACTGAAGATATATCAATGTGCAGTTTTCTGGGGACCAGCATCTTGTAGACTGAGCAGGGGATTGAACCATCAACCTTCCAGATAGTGGATGAATAAGTCTGCATGCTAAGCTATAGCCAACCAATGACTAGCTGCATGAAATTACTTTAAAGTTGATATCTACGTTCTTTTTTGTGTGTGTATGTGTGTGTGTGAGTGTGTGTGAGAGAGAGAGAGAAAAAAACCCCAAAATAAAATAATAAAATATCAACATACTCATCCATTAAAACAGTTATGGATTTAGCTACATGTGTAGAATGCATAAGCCTCGACAGAGAATCACAGTTAGGAAAATATACACAACGAAGAAAAAGTATTAAGCTGTGTTGCATATGGTTTCATAGTTAAGTAAGAAACTGAAAACATTTTTAAAAATTGACAAAGAAAAATACTGAAGTATGTACCATAGCAGGTAAAAAAAAAAGATGCTATTGTATAAAAAAAGATTTACAAATTTTCCTCAACATGGCTTTGAATGGTGTAACTCAAATCATCATGTCAGCCTTCAATTAATCCATAAAGGAGACATGATGAAACTCGGTATTCCGAAGTAGGTAAGTAAGCATAGGACTGAAGTTTTAGATTAAAACAGCATGAAATTTGCACAGTGAAGTGTAAAAATCTTAAATCACAGCAGTATAAAATGATCTAAACAGGTTATTCATGAACGCAAATGACTAATGATGCTGAAACAGTACAGGAGGCCCTACAGTGACCATGTCCTATCAAGATGATTAGGACACAAGAGGGTTTGCTTTTCCTAAGTTTGGATAGCTGCTGTTGTTTTGTTTATTTTTTTCTGACTTATACCCAAGCCAGCAATTAATGAGAGCTAGAGGCACTTAACTACGTTAGAGACAAAATATAAAGTTGTTTAAAAATCCTGTATTCGTTATTACGTTCAACAGTTTTCCTACAATCAGATGAGCTTAAAGTTATGTCAAACAGTCAGTATGTTGTGAATTCACATATAAAATAGCAAAATGCCCCTTTTAGTAAAGGTAGTGTGAGTATTTGTGACTTTTCATAGCATCTAAAATATATATAAAAAAGAGGAAATTATGAAAATTATGAAAATATTATTGCCTAAAAATGGGATTCATCAGCTCTATGGAGCTGTGAGACAGATGAAAAACCTTTTGACTCAACAAACTAAAGTATGTCATGACAATGTGATGTACGTGCAGTAGCAAAACATTTGATCAGCACTGAATGTTGAGCAAAGGTAACAGCACAGAACACATCTGTCCATATCTGCACAATAACAGGTCCAACATTCAAAAACTTTGCTGTTCAAAACCAATTTAAAACATTTGCTCAACAGTTTTGGTGCCACCTCTAAAAACAAGAACCAGGATAAAGAGAGAGCAAAGAGCAGCTGCAGACCAAGGACATTCATTTTTATTCAATCTGAAATCATGTGATAGTGATAGATGGAAAGCTGAGGCCCTCCCTGTAAGCAGATGTAATACATGTAAAAATGCATGTTGTCTTTGTCTGCTTACATTTTACTCCAGCTACAGCTAAACATAATCGCATTTGTTTTATTTTATGTATAAATTAGATCTTAAACTACTGGAGGTCGCACACGTGATGATGCGTGCATTGTTTTAATTGTACTCGTGTGTGATGAGTGTCCAAAAAGAGAAGAGCTCTGTTTACAAGTTTGCTGAGTGACTTAATGTTACCTATAGATAAAAGCAAAGAAAACAATTTCCAAGAAAGCAAACAAAACCATTGAGACGCATTCAGGTACAGAAGGATCCATTAAAACTCTTTAGCTTACAAATTTAGCTCCAGCCTTATTAGAAAAGAAAATAACAGGACAAGCGAAGCAGCTGAACAGTTCCCCACAATTACACTTTTCACATAAGGGAAAAGGATGTGGAAGTGAAGGAAAATTGGAGCTTCTGAGAACAGAATTATCTCTAAGATTCTTTGTATTCATTTCTATTTAATAAATTAACTGAAATTTTTCTCCGTTTTTATCTAAACATTATCAAATGTGAGATGAACCTTTAAGCAGGTTTGCTTTCAAAGTTTGTTTAAACTTTTGTTTTCTTCTTTACCTGCTTGCATCGTACTCTTTTCCAAACTGTAACTTTAAAGTTAAAAAGATACCATAAACAATCAACAGTAAACAAGCTGTAAGTCTGGACTGCTGGATTAAATGCAATACTGTTTAGTGCTGTGGAAAAACTAGTGTAGTGAATATGCTGGGAAAAGACAGTGGATTTAATCTGTTCATTTTCCACATTCCAGTTTTGCCTAAATGTAATTAGATTTCTTTTACTTATACATTTGAGTGCCCAACAGCTGAGGAGCTTTGTTTACAAGTTCATTGAATGTCATCTGTTGGGAAAAGCAAAGACAAAAATCTGCACATAACCATTCAGAAGTCTCTAAGTACACAAGACTCCATAAAAACTCTTTAGTTTGCAAATTTAGCTTCAGTCTCTTGAAAAATGAAAATAATAAGACAAGATGAGCACTTGAAGACAGTCACACAATTAGAATTTATGCAAAGGTGAAGTACACATGCAAGTGAAGAAAAATTACTTTGAAGATTGTTTGTATTTATGTTTACTCCTTTGTTTTAATAAGTTATGTTAAAATCTAAAATAATAAAGCACAGGCTTTGCAATTTGTCAGTTTGGTTACACGCTGCAAATTTAAATTATAATGTTGAATTACTGATGCACACCACTAAGTAAGACACATATGAGTTTAGCACTGCTCTGATCCTGTGGAAAGACTGTAGTGGAGTGGCATACTGGGAAAAGACAGTGGATTTGATGTGATGGTTTTCCAAAAGTG